AATGTAGATGTATTTCCTCAGTACACTGGCATTATTCTCTGATGCTCAGTGAAAGCACTTGTCTTTCATCCTTTGAGCCTCCCTTTCTCCCAATTGATTTGTGACTGATAATAAGTTGATAGTTGAAACAAGATAAAGGGGTTTTTAAACCAAGAATTCAGGTGCCCCATACATTAGCCTTGTTCTGCTGCAGCCCCCTGTGCACCTGCTCCACTCTCTCACCACACCACCCCTACTTAGCCTCCACCAGAATATGGTTTGCTGACTATGATGGAGCTGAAATAAATGTATTACTATATTACCAACCTCCCTAATAAAATAAAAAAGAAAGATAAATTTCAAGAAATACCACATATGAAATTGTTAAGTCTATCATTGTGCTTGCCTAACTTTAGTATTTACTCATTCCCAATGCTTCATTCATTTATGCATCAAACCTGGATTCACTATAGTGCAAGTCAAGCAGGAGAGAGAGAGAGACAAAGCAAACTAGATGACAAGTATCATAAAGGAAACACTATGGAAACAGCAAAGAATAACTAACAATAACTATCTAAAAGGATATTATTACATTTTTGTCCACCAGACAATGAATGGGAAGTTTTTTTGCAATTTTCTGGGGTTTACAAGGTAAAACATAAATATTTGATAACCTTTTTCATTTCAATTCTCAAATTTGTTATAATTTTCTAGACATACTTATTTTATCCACTAGAGTGCAGTAAATCCTTAAAGACAGTTTAACCAACCTTCCTTTTAAAAATATAGCAATTAGTTCTTATACATTTAACTTAGAAATTAATTCCCAAATATTTCTGCTTGTATGTTTTTCATTTATTGGTAAGTTGTCTGCCCAGTTAGACAGTGAACATTTTAGGACAGGAAGTGTCTTATTTCTTTAAATTTCCCCACAACACTTGGCACAGTGTCCTAGTCATCATACAGGTTTAATCCATTTCCTAAAATTTGAATTTGATAATAATTTTGTGAAGAATATGATTTGATGCATGCCAATATAGTTTTGGTACAATGTAAAGTTTTATTTTAGAACTCTAAATAAAATCATCTCTGCTCATATGACCACAATTAAAGAAAATAAATCCAAAATGAGGATAAAATGTAAGCAATGGTTAAAATAAGTCTTAATTAAGGCACCATATATGAAACTATTCTGTGAACTGTAATGTATATAGACATATAAAATTATTCTGTGATTTGGTAAAATGGTGTTTTATGTCGAATGGTATTTGTTGGAACTGGCTCAAGAAGAGGAAAACTGAAAATCAGGAAAAAATTTAATAACTAAAGATCAGATTGACAAATTTTGAGCTAGGCATGGGAATATAAAAAGATGGTCCTTGCTCTGGTTCCTGAAAAACACATATTAAACAAGTTTTTGCTGTGGCTCAGTCGGTAGGAGTGTCCTCCCATACACTGAAAGGTCTTGGGTTTGATTCCCAGTCAAGGCACATGCCTAGGTTGTGGCTTCAATCCCCAGCCCCAGTTGGAGCTCATGGGAGAGGAAACGGATTGAAGTTTCTCTCTCTCCCTGTCTCTGTCTCTGTGTGTGTGTGTCTCTCTCCCCTTCTCCCACCTTCCCCATCCCCTCTCTCTAAAAACCAATGAAAATGTCCTTGGGTGAGGATTTAAAAAAAGAAGAAAAAAACGTTTAAAAAGCACGCAAACAAATTTACTATAAGTTGGTAAGTGGTAAATTAAAAAGTAGGATTAACCCTAGCTGGTTTGACTCAGTGGATAGAGTGTCGGCCTGTGTATTGAAGGGTCCTAGGTTCAATTTAAGTCAAGGGCACATGCCCGGGTTGTGGGCTCAGTCCCCAGTACGGGGTGTGCAGGAGGCAGCTGATCAATGATTCTCTCTCATCATTGATGTTTCTTTTTTTTTTTTTTTAAATATATTTTATTGATTTTTTACAGAGAGGAAGGGAGAGAGATAGAGAGTTAGAAACATCGATGAGAGAGAAACATCGACCAGCTGCCTCCTGCACATCTCCTACTGGGGATGTGCCCGCAACCCAGGTACATGCCCTTGACCGGAATCGAACCTGGGACCTTTCAGTCCGCAGGCCGACGCTCTATCCACTGAGCCAAACCGGTTTCGGCCATCATTGATGTTTCTATCTCTCTCTCCCTCTCCCTTCTTCTCTGAAATCAATAAAATATTTTTTAAATAAATAAAGTAGGATTACTAAACCTGGGAAAGCTTCCAGGAGAAGAAGAGCCCTGAAAAGAATTTTAAAGAAGAATAAGCCTTAGTAAGGAGAGTGAAAGAACATTTTGGACAGAGGAAGGAGTCGGGGCAGGGGCAGGGGGAGAGGGGGGAAGAACACACACACAAAGAAATGTGAAACATTGCAGTAGGGGAGTGTTTGAAGGTGGGGAAGGGAATAAGGAACACAACTCATAGTACTATTTTGTGTTCTCTAGCATAAATTACTAGCATATAAAGAACAAGGAAGAGAGACTCGAGAGATTACATTGGGGAGAATAAACCAAATAGAAGAGAGGAAAAAAACATGTAAGACTATAGAAGTACAGTAGTATAAGATGTGGGAAAAAAGAAAAGTCATTCTTTTTGTTAATAAAGAAAGGCTTTGAAGAGAGCTTTCAATGAAAAGGAGGAAAATCCTATTATATGACATATAAAAGTTTCTTAAATTGCATGGTTCTGCTTATAGTTTTTTTTATGTATTCACTGAATATTTATAGTGAATTCACTGTGTGCTAAGCACTGGGGATACAGTAGAGCACAGGATAGACCAGGTCCCTGTCTTTATGAAACTTTCAGACTAGCAGGGGAAGAACAAACCAAAATAAGTAAACAATGCATATGTAGAATAGATGCATTCTCATGGTTGCTTATGTCACGAGCATGATTGGCACCATGAAGAAATAAGATAGGTGATACATGTCACAGAAACTAAGAGGTGTACTTGAGATAAAGTGGGGCTCTCTAAAGGGGTTAACATTAGAGCTAAAGATTGAAGGATGAGGATGAACCAGCTATTTGAAGAACTAAGGGAAGAAAATTTTAGGCACAGAGAAATGTAAGCACAAAAGCCTGAGAAGAGAAACCATTTGGTGTAGTTGAGCAGAAAGAAGGCTAGTGTGGCTTGAAGTGCAGTGGTCAAGGTGAAGTCAAGGAGATGGAGCTAAGTGATCTAGGGCCTCATAGGCCATTGTAAGGAATTGAGGCCTCATTCTAAATAGAAGGATTTTAAACAGGTAAGAGATGACATTTTCAGGAGGGAGCTTTGCTCTATGTTATGTCTCATAGCTTACAGGTAGGTGTGCCATTGTGTTACACCCTATACCCTAAACTGAATTTTAGAGGAGAGGTAGAAGGCAGATGTTTTTTTGTGACCCTTCTTTTTGCCTTCCCCTTGATCCGATATCACCTTCTCTACCTTGTCCTTAGAGATTGCCATGTGGCCTAAAATAAAAACCAAATCTAGGAGTACAAATGTGCTTTTGGTAGGACCTTACTAGTCTTATATTTAAGGACCCCAAAGTAAGGATAACAACAAAGAATTAGGCAATATCAGCCTTTTTTTCTGCTCCCTTTAATAAGGCAGCTCAGTGAGTTATATAAATCTACTAGAGGCCCGATGCACAAAATTCGTGCAAGAGTAGGCCTTCCCCTGGCTGCTGGCACAGGCTTCCCTCGCAGCCCCAGCTTTGTTTGGAAGGACATCCGAGAGGACGTCCAGTCTAATTAGCATATTACACTTTTATTATTATAGATTTATCTTTCATCTTTTCAAGTTTCTTACTGCCTTAGGTGGCAAGATTTTATTTTCATAGAAATGTCATTTTGATTATGGGCAAGATTAGTATCACTTTAAGATCTCCCTTCATCATCACCACATTTCTAAATTTCTGATTATCCCTTGAAGAGTTATGCCTAAAAGTTTTATTATGATTTTTAACTGTGACTTTCACTTTGTCAAAGTTTGTGGTTGCCAGTCTCAGAAACAGTTCCACCCATACTCAGAAATTGAAAGCTTTTGCCATGTGTTTACAAATGAAAATTTATTGATACAGCTTTATTTTGAACATATGCAGAGACATTTATTTTATACTGTAATTAAGCTAATCAGTTTTAAATGTTGGTAAACAAACCAACATTTGAAATTTTTAAGAGTATAAAAGAGTAGAATGTTGTTATTTTATTTTTTTACTAGAGGCTTAGTGCATGGATTCGTGCACCAGTGGCATCTCTTGGCCTGGCCTGCAGGGATCGGGCCAAAACCAGCTCTCCAACATCCCCCAAGGAGTCCCAGATTGCCAGAGGGTGCAGGCCAGGCCGAGGGACCCCACCAGTGCACAATTGGGGCCGGGGAGGGACTGTGGAAGGGCTCCAGGACATGTCCAGCCCATCTCGCCCAGTCCCGATTGGCCTGACCCCAGCAGCAAGCTAACCTACTGGTTGGAGTGTCTGCCCCCTAGTGGTTAGTGTGCATCATAATGACTGGTCGAATGGTCAAACGAATGATCAGACTTTAGCATATTAGGCTTTTATGATATAGGATTTCTTAAATATGCTTTATTCAAGTATCTTAAAGCACTTTGAACTCTCATTTCACCATATAACATTTTGCTTTTTCTGCTTGCAAAATATGAATTTTCTTTCTCTTTAAGCTGTGTAAAAATGTACACACTGAGATCCAAATAGAGTTCTATATAGCTTTTCTTATAAAGATGTGAAAAAAGCTAAATGACTTTTCCTGAATTATTGAGAATGAAATATTTACTCAGAAAAAGAATGTTTGTTTGAACTATTCTGATTTAAATTTTATTTTCTTTCTATTAATACTTTTAAATAAGCATGAAAAGAAAATTAGTTTTTCAGTACATTGACATTTACTAGAAAAGACATCTCTTGGCTTTGCAGTGGAGGTTAAGAGGTTTTCTTCAGAAATGCATTATGCACCTACAATTAAAGATTTGCCACTCACCCCAGTGACTATTTTGTTTTTCAGGCCACAACGTGAATACATGAATAGAAGAAGAAAATTTCTTCTTGCCTCAGTTCTTGCTCTCCAAAATTCAAGTTTTATATATCCTTCATGTCAAAAGTGCTTCTCTCGGATAATCTTAGTCTCCAAAAGGTAAAAGTAAAGTCTGTAAACACAAGAGAGGAAATACAAGTCAGTTGCAAGCTGCTGCAGGAAACAGAAATTCCCCACTTTCATTTCTCCACTAAAGATTTCATTTCCACCTAAAGATTTTTTTTGAATTCCAAATCCTTAGTGATAAAAACTATAGTAGGTACTTTGTATTTAATAAGGTTAACTTTCTTCTTTGTTTTAACCTCGAAGATTTAGAGCAGTGGTGGTTTTCAAATTACATTCTGTAGAGCTTTAAGGGTTCATGCTTCTAGACTGGGAGATGGGGACTAGAGAAGGAATAATAGATGGTGCTAACAAGTAGGATGGGCTCTGGCCCCCACTTTCATTTCAGCAAGACTTCCATTCTCATCCTTCTGTTAGGGTTCCAAGATTTCATTTGAAAAGGTTCCATGATGTATATAAAGATGCAGGCACATAGATGTACAGATATAAAAAAATATATGTATGGGAAGTTTTTGATCATTCATATAAAATTATCATATATACACACACACACACACACACACGTATGTGAATATGATACTCTTTTTATATGAAGGACCATATTAACTTTATTTGTGTATGTGTATGTGTGCGCTCTTCCAAAAATTATGAGTAAGGGGGCGGGGGGGGTACTTACTTATCCATATAAGCTATTCACCTAACCCAAACAGATGTGAATTGCCCTTCTAAGTTACTTAATGGGACCCATAGTTTCTTTAGTCTAGAAATCTTTCTCTGATACTAAGAACTTTCTTTTCCTGTCTTAAAATGTGAATTGTAGCTCAGACACTATCTATCCTCTCTCCTATCCCTTCCCACCCCACTGCTCAGCCACCCAAAAAGTTTTTATTTATTTAAACAAGTCAAATTGAATTTCACACATATTGATCATAGTTTTCTCCTATTGGAAGGAAGTGGTATGTAAAGCCTTAAAGTACTTTTTTTTTTCAATTACAGTTCACATTCAGTATTATTTTGTATTAGTTTTAGAGTTTCAGGTGTATAGCATAGTAGTTAGATAATCATATACCTTACAAAGTGTTTCCCCTTATATTTCTAGTACCCATCTGGCACCATACTGAGTTATTACAATATTATTGACTATTTGCTGTACTTTACATCCCTGTGACTATTCTGTAACTGCCAATTTGTACTACTTAATTTTTCATCTTTTTTACCCAAACCCCATTTCCCTCTGGCTACCATCAGTCTGTTTTTTTGTATCTATAAGCCTGTTTCTGTTTTCTTTGCTCATTTATATTGTTCTTAAGGTTCCCACATGTAAGTGAAATCCTATGGAATTTGTCTTTCTCTCACTGACTTATTTCACTTAGCATAATAGCCTCTAGGTCCATCCATGCTGTCACAAATGGTAAGGTTTCATTCTTTTTTATGGCTGAGTAGTATCCTATACAATAAAAGCCTAATATGCTAAGTGTCCAGTCATCCAGTTGGCCATTCAACCAGTCAAAGCATAATATGCTAATGATATGCTAAGGCTGCTCAACTGCTCGCTATGATGTGCACGGACCACAACGGGGCAGACGCTCTGACCAGTAGGTTAGGTTGCTGCTGGGGTCTGGCCAATCGGGACTGAGTGAGATGGGCCAGACACGCCCTGCAGCCTTCCTGTGGTCCCTCCCCAGCTGGCCAACCTCCCACATTCCTCTCTGCTCGGGATCATGCACCCTTGGGGTCCCTCAGCCTGGCCTGTGCCCTTTCGCAATCTGGGACCCCTCTGGGAATGTTGGAGAGCCGGTTTCAGCCCGTCGGCAAACTACTGGTCACTATGACGTGCACTGACCATGGGGCAGATGCTCAATGCAGGAGCTGCCCCCTGGTGGTCAGTGCGCTCCCACAGGGGGAGTGCCGCTCAACCAGAAGCCGGGGCAGCTTGTTAAAAATGCAGGCTTTGGGGCCTTGACCCAGACTTAGATTCCAAGTGATTTGTATACATATTAAAGTTCAAGCTCTGATGTGTATTACTCCACACTAACATTTATTTGTTTCAATCCAGCCTTATTCCCAAAGGATTAAAGGAAATCATATACATAAATATCTACATATACAGGGCATCCCAAAAAAATGTATATGGGATGTCTGTAGATTCTATTACATTTTTAAAATGAAATGAAATGTAAACACTGGCTTTATAATTATATTTTTTTGTGTATACATATTTTGGGGGCACCCTGTATAAAGCTATATATAATTTAGTGTTTATATGCATTCATATTAATAAACTTAGTTTTTTGTTTTGTTTTAAATAATTTTTTATTGTTGAAAGTATTACATGTCCCCATTCTTCCCCCATTGACTCCCTCCAGGACACCCCCACCCCCCACCACCACAGGCCTTTAGCACCCTATTGTCTCTGTCCATGGGTTATATATATGCATTCAAGATCTTTGGTTGATTACCTCCCTCCCACCCACTCACCCTCCCCCGCCTGCCCTCTGAGATTCCACACTCTGTTCCATGCTCTGGATCCACACTGTTCATCACTTTATTTTGTTACTTACATTCCACATATAAGTGCGATTGTGTGATACTTGTCTTTCTTTGATTGACTTATTTCACTTAGCATGATACCCTCCAGGTCCCTCCATGCTGTCTCAAAGGGTAAGAGATTCTTCTTTTTTGCTGCTGCATAGTATTCCATGGTATAAATGTACTACAGCTTTTTTATCCACTCATCTACTGATGGGCACTTGGGCTGTTTCCAGATCTTAGCTATTGTAAATTGTGCTGCTATGAACATAGGGGTGCATACAACTTTTCTGACTGTTGCTTCGGGTTTCTTAGGATATATTACTAGAAGTGGGATCACTGGGTCAAATGGCAGTTCCATATTTAATTTTTTGAGGAAACTCCCTACTGTTTTCCATAATGGTTGCACCAGTCTGCATTCCCACCAGCAGTGTACTAGGGTTCCCTTTTCTCCACATCCTCGCCAGCACTTGTCATTTGTTAATAGTAGTCATTCTGACAGGTGTGAGATGGTACCTCATTGTGATTTTGATTTGCATCTCTTGGATGATCAGTGACTTTGAGCATTTTTCTTATGTTTCTTGGCCATCTGTATGTTCTCTTTGGAGAAGTGTCTATTTAGGTCCTTTGCCCATTTTTTTCATTGGATTGTTTGTCTTTGTTTTGTTAAGCTGTATGAGTTCCTTATATATTTTGGATATTAACCCTTTATCAGATGTATCATTGCCAAATATGAGTAAACCTAGTTTTTGTTAGGCTATCATTGATACTGTACTTGAAAGATAGTTCATTACTAACCATATTGTTCTTATAGTTATCATAAGGCATCATGCAAGAAAAATCTCCAGGATAGAAATCCAAAGCCTTGGATCTGGGTCATAAAATTCACTAACTTTGTCTGTCACCTTGGGCAAAAATTCACCCCAGTTTTCCCTTACATAAATGGGAATAAATGGCCTTGTTTACATATCAGAATGAAAGAATGTATGTTGCAAACATTTATGAACTGCAAAATGCTGATGCCTATTAAGATTTGCTAAGAATATTACATTTGCCCTAACCGGTTTGGCTCAGTGGATAGAGCGTTGGCCTGCGGACTCAAGGGTCTCAGGTTCAATTCCGGTCAAGGGCATGTACCTTGGTTGCGGACACATCCCCAGTAGGGAGTGTGCAGGAGGCAGCTGATTGATGTTTCTCTCATCGATGTTTCTAACTCTCTATCCCTCTCCTTTTCTCTCTGTAAAAAATCAATAAAATATATTTTTTAAAAAATATTACATTAGACTTGAATGCATTATTAATATATAATTTTTAAAGAAGGTATATTTATAGCCAAATTACAACACAACTCCAGCAGATTTGGGTAGGATTACACGAATGGAATGGCACAGATCCATCCTCAGTGTAGCAAAAAATAATAATTATCACAAATCTAATACTGAATCAGTAACTTCTTATATAAAGGATTAACCTTTGTTCAAAATAGTCACCTTGGTCCTGTGGAGTTTAGGCTCCCCTGGTGGCTATATGGCAGCAATCAAATATTTACACTTTATTTTCTATTTGCATTTTCTATTTGCTTTTTTAAGCTAGATCAGTAATTTTCAACTGGAGTGCCACAAGAATTTTTAAAACATGTAATGCCTGACTATTTAGTCAGGGGCACTCACCTCTTTTTCCTTAGATTGTCAAATAAAAAATGGCAACACCCAATACAACAATAGCCATCTTGTGTGGATGAATCAAAATTATACCTATTTTTTTGTCAGATTGGCAAAGTATATATTTTTTGATGTGCTGCAGAATTTTAGTAATTATTTTATGTGTGCCATGAAATAAAAAAGGTTGATAATCGCTAAGCAACAAAAGAACAAAAACAACAGTTATCCATTACCAAAAGATGTTTTCATTTGTCAGTTTGCTAAATTAAGAATGTAAGTTGTAAGACATTATTGCAAACAATTAAAAAGGAGGGAAACATTTCATAGAAGTGACAATATCATTACAATATTTAATATAATTATTAGAAAGAAGCAGACTAACTTATTAATTGGCAATAGATGTTTTCTTTACTTTATTTTCTTCTGTTTTGTCTCCTTTTATCCTTCTTCAACCCTGAATTTTACTGATGAGGAAATCACAGTTTAAGGGATTTAGTAAAATATCCCAAGACCAGACATTTAGTACATGACAGTAAAGTTACACTTAATACAGTTTTTTTTTTTCACCAGAAAGACGTTGGTCATAATTACACATTGCCTTAGAAACAAGTTAAATACAATGTTTTGTACCTCTTTGTAATCTGATAAATTCTTAGCATATCACAGAGAATTAAAAAAGTAAGTTATTTTTATAATGGTGAGAAAAATGTAACTGGGTTCTCTATGTATACATTTTTATTAATTGTTTCAAGATGATTAATTATTTTTTAATAGAAGATAGACAATAGTTTTCAGGTCTTCTGTTGGTGTGGTGTTTACTTCATTATTTAGTTTTCACATACCCCCAACCCCAGACTATAATGTGTCTCACTTTGTTCATGATGATTTAGCTACCCAATAAGAACATCTCTCTCACCGCCCCCCTAAACCCTCCAAACACACACACACATTCCCTTCACTTTTCTGTCAGTTCGGTGCTACTTAATTTAAATCAGTGAAAGCAGCTGTTATGAGTAAAGAAATTTAAAAGAGATTAATTTGAAATAGTTTAAGACGAATGTAAGTTGTATAGAAACATTTGTACACAAAACATTATTTTTAATTTTTACTTTTCCAGATTTTTTTTCACTATATGAAAAAAAAATTAGTGAACATTTCTATACTTTTTTCTTCCACTTTTCCAGGTCTAATTGTCCAAAATGTGGTTCTACTGGTGAAGCTGAAAATGCCAGTTACAGATACAGACTTTCCATTAAAGTTGCAGAATCAAATAAATTATTTGGCATTACTGTTTTTGGAAGCTGTTTAGACGCATTTTTTGGTCTTACTGCCACTGATTTGCATAGGTAAGATTATTTAAATCATTCCTTTTCCTATTAATATATTAATAGAATTTTAAAATAATGTGTTTTTAAGGTAATAAACATTTAGTAAAATAGATGACCTCATTGACTACTCAACCTCAGATCATCAGTTTCTTTAAATGATCATCAAGAAATAGATGTTTATTTCCTGAATATCCTATCTAATAATAGATAAACATGGTAATTGACCATACCTCCGCTACGCTTCCCATTGGCTAGTCAGCAGGATATGCAAATTAACTGCCAACAAAGATGGTGGCCGGCAGCCACGCAGCTGAAGCCAACATGAGGCTTGCTTGCTCCAGTGATGGAGGAAGCCAAGGTTCCCCGCCTGCCGCGGCCCAGCTCTGAACTCCGAAAGCAACAATGTTTCAATTATAGAAGCTAAACAAACCCCAGATACCTGCTTTCAGCTGGCTGCGGCCTCAGAGCTTAAAGCGCCAGTGATGGCAACAGAGTTTCAATTATAGAAGCTAAACAAACCCAGATACCTGCTTTCAGCCAGCCGCAGCCTCAGAGCTGGAGCCAGGCCTCAGAGCTGGAGCCGGCTCTCAGCTCCAGTGACAGCTATAGAAGGTAAATAAATCCCAGAATAAAAAAAAAAAAAAAAAGAGTCTGGCACTTCAGTCGCCCGGCAGCCTGAGAACGGCCCTCAGCCCCTCACCCAGACTGGCCAGGCACCCCAGTGGGGACCCCCACCCTGAAGGGGGTGTGACCAGCTGCAAACAGCCATCAGCCCATCATCCAGGCTGGCCAGGCACCCAAGTGGGACCCCCACCTTGATCCGGATCACCCTTCAGGGCAAACCAGCTGGCCCCCACCCGTGCACCAGGCCTCTATCCTATACAGTAAAAGGGTAATATGCAAACTGACCCTACAGCAGAAAGACTGGGAATGACTGGTCACTATGACACACACTGACCACCAGGGACCACCAGGGGGCAGACGCTCAATGCTGGTCAGTGCACTCTCACAGAGGGGAGCTCTGCTCAGCCACAAGCCAGGCTGATGGCTGCCAGTACAGCAGTGGTGGTGGGAGCCTCTCCTGCCTCCTCAGCATGTCTGACTGCAGCTTAGGTCTGCTTCCCGCTGGCAAATGGACATCCCCCGAGGGCTGCCGGGCTGCCAGAGGTATGTCTGATTGCCATCTTAGGCCCAATCCCCCGGGGAGCAGGCCTAAGCCAGCAAGTGGTCACCCCCGAGGGGTCCCAGACTGCGAGAGGGCACAGGCCGGGCTGAGGGACCCCCTCCCCCCGAGTGCACAAATTTTTGTGCACTGGGCCTCTAATATAGTGATAATATTAAACCAAGCTCCTTTTATCCAGGCCAACTAAGCTGTGATTAGAATACTAAATTACAAAACTCTAATCCAAGTTAGAGGACATAGAATAAGAAAGTAAAATTGTTTCTTTTTTTAAAAATATATTTTACTGATTTTTTTACAGAGAGGAGGGAGAGGAATAGAGTTAGAAACATCAATGAGAGAGAAACATCAATCAACTACCTCCCTGCACAACCCCCACTGGGGATGTGGCCGAAACCAAAGTACATGCCTTTGACCAGAATCAAACCTGGGACCCTTCAGTCTGCAGGCTGATGCTCTATCCACTGAGCCAGACCCGTTAGGGCAGTAAAATTGTTACAAACTGAGGGATTATACAGGTTGATATTTACATTCAAGTGGCCAACATCTCTTGAGGCAGAAGAAGCCATTTGTGGGAATATTTGCATATTAGAAGTTGAAATTTTGTTATTTCTCTCATTACAACTTTACCTGCATAGTTTGACCTTTTATGATGTTGTCCTGAAATGCAAGGATATATTTAAGCAGTCTTCTACCCTCCTCCCCTAATTCCTAACAGAAGAAATGTCTGTCTGTCTCCTTATTGTTGAGAACAGACTCATTTGAAGAAAGGGACAGCAGAGGGACCGTAGGATCGCCAGGGAAGAGGAAAGACTCCCCTCTGCTTTGATGAGGACTAGAGATCCCACTACTACTTCCACTGCTGCTTCTAGAATAATTGCTGGGCCTGATTCCTAGGCAGGCATCTATTTTATTCACATTTGATCAATTGTTTTTGTCTTCCTAGCTGTGGGAAACTAGAGGGAACAAAATGCCTAGCTTTTAAAGTCACTTTTTTAAAAAAAAATTCAGAGAAGAAGGGAGAGAGAGAAAAACATCAATGATGAGAGAGAATCATTGATCGGCTGCCTCCTACACCCCTCCCCCCATACTGGGGATCAAGCCCACAACCCAGGCGTGTGCCCTTGACCAGAATCAAACCCGGGACTCTTCAGTACGCAGGCCTATGCTCTATCCACTGAGCCAAACCAGCCGGGGCTAAAGTCACTTTTTTAAATATGTAACTCAAAAGGTTCATGCTGCATTTTCAAACTAATTGTTCATATATTCTGACTTTATGGCAAGTTAAAATTTCAAAGTTTATCTCTTCACACTTTTTTTTTTCTCCAATCAAGATACATTCAGGATTCCAGTGAAATTCCAGGAGCACTGGATAGGGATGCAACTCAGAACCTATTAACTAAAGCAGTGGAAACTTGCTTTGTTGGACAGAGCTTTATTTTTGGAGTGACGGTAATTGCTTCTAGCTTTCTTCTGTTCTGTTAACATTTCCATTGTAATGAAATGATTTTAATTCTCTAAACAGTTTCTAGGAGTCATAAATGTGAGATCCTGTAGAAGCACTTTAGAATGTGTAAAAATAGGCTATAGGTTAAACACCATGTGCGACAACTTCCTCTTTCAAAAGTCAGAAGAGTCTAGTTTAAATGTTTTCAGAGCTTTAAAAATCTAACTTTATGTAAATTCAGAAGTGTTAGATATTTGTTTATCTGCATATTCATAACTAATAATAGGTTAGAAAGGATGGTTTTAAATAATTATAAAAGTGACAATAGAAGTTGAAAATAATGTACTAATTCTGAAGGAGTAATCCTTTCCTGTTTCATTTATGCTAAAGGGAACAAATATAAATTTTATCCACATTGGAATTAGGGTTTTAAAAATAAGAACAAAGCACTCCCTAACTGCACAGTGAGAAAGACCAAAGGGAAGGTGAAGCCAGGAGCTACTGAGCTTTTCTTTGTTAAAACCTTAGACAGTTCTTTATCTTTTTTTTTAATAGGTTAGAACATTCCCTTAAGCACTCAAAGTTTATGGAAGTTAATGACAAATATAATAGCTATCATTTATTGAGCAACTACTATTTCCTAAGCAGTGCAGTTTTCCATGTTATTGCAAATACAGTAAACTTGCATTTTTTAAATCTCTAGCTTATAAATGAGAAAACTAAGGCTCAAAAAGGTTAAATAAGTTGTCCAAAGTCACAACACTAGTAAATGTTAGAACTGGGATTTGAATACAAGTCTCTTTACTCCAGGGTTTGCTTCTCTTACTTATACTACTGTGTTTATAACACTAGATGATTGAAATTATTTTAAATCTGTTTCACATTCTAGTCAAAGGAAGAAAAATTTATTCTCATTTAAATGTATTAACTTCTTTCGCAGAATTTTGAAAAACAACATGGGCAAGGTTCAGATTCCAGTACCTTCTTAGAACAGTGCCTTGGCCGCAGGAGAGAAATTAAAGAGCTACTAGCTTGCCAGATTGTCCTACCAGACCCGAGTGTCGCAGGCTTCACTGTCATTGACTATTTCCGGCAGCTTTTGCAGCTTTCCAATTTCAGGAAACTCCATGGTGGCTCCCAGGCACCTACGAGCCACCTGCTTGCTTTAGAACACTCAAGTAGTGATCTCAGCAGCATGTGTAGCCTTGACAGCAGCTCTGATTTTGTGGAATCCCATGGCAGAGATAACTTTCTAATGTCCTGGCAGTCATCACTTGAACTCACTTCCATTGTTTCACAGCTAACAGATGAAGATAATTTTTCAGCTTCAGAACAAAGCAAGGCCTTTGATACTCTTCACCAGAACAGAAAGTGCATTTCCTTGGCAGAGGCCACTGGTTCAGGTGGTTGCCATGATGCCATTCAGTGTTCATGGAGCCTTGTTTCATATATGGATAAAAAGAGCACAGCACAAAAGTTAGGTGATGAACTTGGCTTACAAGCTAATCAGCCAAGTGGAGTACACAGCAGTCATCATGAAATTGGAGTTACTGTTTCTAATTTTTTCTCCTTGAAAATGCAAGAGTCCCATGAGCCAAGTAATACAAAATCCTTCCACAGTGCAGTAGAAATTAAAAAGAGAAATTCCCAGCATGAGCTAACAGGTCATGATATCAGTACTCCCTTCAGCCTTCAGGAAAGATCTGTGTGTTGTCCACCTATATCACTCAGACTTGAAGAAATAGCTAGTGGTTCCCAGGATTATGACCCCAAGATTTGGGATGATCTGCCACTCTCTGAAAGCTTAAACAAGTTTCTGGCAGTTATCGAAAGTGAGATTGCTATAACTCCGGTGGGTGCCAGCAGTAGGAAGCCTCATCTAGATAATGGCATCGATGAATTACATGCAGACCTCAACAGTTTATCTGTGACTCCCCAGGGAACTGCTGGAGCCTTGCTTACACCACCTATAGCGTTAAGAGCATCACAAGCAACAGTCAAAGCAAACTCTGGCAAAGGTAACTTCCTTTCCAACTGTGAAGCAAATCCAGCTGCTAGTGTTCAGGAGTCACAACCAGATAACACAGCAGAGGCTGTCTCTGTAGGTAGAAATGGAAGAGATATTTCTGAATGTTTTCCAGCAAATGCTTCTCTGTCAGCTCTGTTTCCAGCTTCAAAGGGTTTAGGAACAACATCTACTCTTAGGAAGTCTACCAGAATTCCACCACGTAGGGCTACGATTTCTCATATACACAGTACTTCAGAGAGTGACCATTCTTGTCTCAGTAGCAAGTATTTTAAGGGATGTGGAGAAAAATCACCTTTGGAAATGAGTGAAAAGTGGATGACGTTGTGTTCCAGGAGGTATAATGATGTTTCTGACCTTTGCAGCTTAGAAAATAAACAATGTAGGAGATGGCCAAAGAACCAAGGTGACAGTCTTACAATTTGCAGGAAACTTACATATTCCTTAGAAGCTCTTTGCAGCAGTCCAAGTAGAAGTACAGATGCACTGAAAGAAATGCCTTATGGACATATCAGAAATAACTTAACACAGACCTATGTTCCTGGTCATGAAAGCAGCTACAATGCTTCTGCTGATCTCTTTGATGATAGTGCTAAAGAAATGGACATGGCAACAGAAACTACCAAAGAGTCACAGGATGTTTTGTTACAATGGGGAAAGTCTTCGGCAGAAAGTCATCATATAGAATCTGATTTTTCACTGAGGTCACTGCCTGAAAACTTCAGCCAATCTTCACAAAAATTATCCTTGCCAAACATGCCTGCCTCCATGAATCCAAAAACATGCTCTTCACCACATTTTCCATCAGATTCAGAAAGTGATGTTGAAGATAGTCAGGACTTTGTTCCATGTTCACAGTCAACTCCTATTGCAGGATTCCACCAAACAAGAATTCATGGGGTGAAAGGAGCTTTCAAGAAACTACCTTCCTTTTATGTGGATCTTGATAGTAACTATAAAGAAACAAGGATTTCCTCTGAAAATGAGGCACAGAAAGCCACTCCCAGGTCTCAAAAAAATATAAAAACACCCAGCCAGAAATCCAAAAGCCCTGTTATACCTGGTGTTACACAACCAGAGGTTGTCAACAACTGTTCTATTGCTGAGTGCTTTGAATCTGACATTGATGAATGGGTCCCTCCTACCACAAAAAAAGCATTTCTTCCCGATATGCTTGGATTCCAAGCCGTTGGTCTAAGAAAATGCCTTGCTGCCTGTAATTCTCCTGATCAGAACACATTACCGAGAAAGAAACTGAAGCGTGTCAAACAAAGAACCAATAAACGTTTCATTAAGAAAGAGTTAAATTTAAAGAACACGCTTACAGCAGTAGTTGCAAACCAGAAAACTCCTAACTACAGCAGTACACACTCAGGCTGGATTTCCAAAGAGTCAGCGTTGGGACTTGGTTGTGGTTCAGAAGTCAGATGTTGCCTTTCATTTTCAGAAAATTGGCCACCTTCAGTGCCTGAAACTAAAAATGCTTGGTCTCCTGAATTGTTTTCACAGAAAGTCACCTCACCCCAGTGGCTGAACCTTTAAAGGTTTGTTTGGAACGTTTGCCTCCACTGGCATGGGAGGCATTCTTCCCGTTTTAAACACTTGAAGAGACACAAATAGAAAAGAGGTGCTGTCTTTTAAAAATGTTTATAAAGCAATTGTTTTTCTGTGTTTATCCAGAATATTCTGATCTGGATAACTTGGCACTTTATATTTTTGATTGTATGTTAGTAATATTGTTGGTTTTGACTGTTAAAATTGTTTGTTAAACTCACATGTACATTCAGAAATAAAGCCTTTACAAAGCAAAACTTAAAATCCTCATTAATTGGTCAGCTCAGCTCACGAAAATGCCTGTTGTGTATTAAGCCAACTACTCTGTCAAGTTTGTGATACCAAACCTACAAGATCACTGATCTCAAAAGATTTTGTTCCACTAGGTAGCAGACATATTACAGTTTCACTACAATGCAGCAGATGCAATGAAAGAGGTTTTTAATGGCTATTACAAACATTCATGTTGCTATGGGATCCTGATAGAGAAGCAATTAACCCAGCAGAATCTGGGCTAGGGATAAGAAAAAAGGTCAATAAAAACTGAGTAGTTAGAGTTAAATGTGAAACTGTGACTATTTTATTTAATAAATATTCATTATATGCTTGCTTCATTCGAGGTACTGGGAACGCAAAGGTGAAAGCCAAGCTCTTTCCCTCAAGAAACTCATGGTTTAGTAAACAAACAGTATCTGATAAGTTCTGTGATTGGAGATAAGCTTGTAGTGCTAATAAGAGCAAAAATCAGGAGAAGTTTGTAGACACTCTAGTCCCCAGCAGCCCCTCAGTTAAACCTTTAGCTGTGAAACCTGTACTCTGTTCAGCTCCCTGTGCCATTCCCCACAGCATCTATTCCAAATCTTCATTCTCTTCATGCCACCAACCTACTGCTCCTCTTGCTTCCTCCTTCATGGAGAAGATTGAGATCACCTGTTGTTTCCCCCACTTTCCACACCCATACCTACTCATCTATATCTGTACTCATCACAGCTTCTTCCCTCTAATCTCAGAAAATGATGCACACCTTCTATTTAGTGCTGATCTTTCTCGTGTTTGGCTGTTAATCAATTACCAGTATACCCATCTTTACCTTCTCACTGTCTTGTTTCTCTTCCTCTCCCTAACTTTTCACTTTGAAAATTTACAAACACGTAAGAGTTGAAAGAATAGAACAGTACAATGATACAGCATCTATACATACCACTTAGAACCAGTTATGTTTAATGTTTTGCTTTTTGCATGTGAGTGGATTTGCTTTCAATATATCTGTATAGATCTATATAGTTTTTGCTGAGCCATTTGAATTTAAGCTGTGGATAGGACATTTCATCCCTAAGTACGTCAACAAATTTCCTTAAAAAAGACTAACTACATAACTACAATATAATTATCACACCAAAGAAAAATAGCAATAGTTCTCCAGTATCTAATATTCAGCTCACATTCAAATTTTTCTTCTTGTCCCTAAATTGTCTTATAATTGTAGTTGATATTATTTAACCAGGATTTTGTTACAGTTTGTCCATGATATATGGTTATGTCTCCTGTCTTTTTCTAGAACTCTTATTCTCTATTACATTAACTTTATGAGAAAATTAGACTATTGTTTTGTAGAATGTCCTACATTTTAGATTTATGTATTTGCCTCATTTTAGTATACATACCTTGTCTCTCTTTCCCCCAATATTTCCTGTAAATAAAATGTTGCCCATCAATATATCCTAAGAATCCCAAAACACCAATCTAAAAGAATATATGCAACAATATGTTCATAGTGCCCTGACTGGTTTTGCTCAGTGGTTAGAGCATCAGCCTGCGGACTGAAAGGTCCAGGTTCGATTCCAGTCAAAGGAACCTTGGTTTCGGGCACATCTCCAGTAGGGAGTGTGCAGGAGGCAGCTGATCGATGTTTCTCTCTCATCGATGTTTCTGGCTCTCTGTCCCTCTCCCTTCCTCTCTGTAAAAAATCAATAAAAAATATAAGATGTGGTACATTAATACCATGGAATACTTTGCAGCTGTAAAAAAGATGGATCTGTTATCCTTTGAGACAGCATGAAGGGACCTGGAAAGTATGCTAAGTGAAATAAGCCAGTCAGAAAGACAAGTACCACATGATCTCACTTTTATGTGGAATCTAATTAACAAAATAAACTGACCAACAAAATAGATCCAGAGACATGGAAGCATGGAACAGATTGATAAATCTCAGGGAAAGAGGGTGGGGCAGGGGGAAGAGATTAACCAAAGAATTCATGTGCACGTATGCATAACCCATGGACAAACAATAGTGTAGCCTGACATAGGGAATACAGGGTGAAGGGGGTCATTGGCAGTGGGGGAAAAGGGGTGCATTTGTAATACTTTCAACAATAAAGATGCATAAATAAAAGTAAAAAACAAAAAGATGTTGCCCATCAGATCTCACCATTGTAAAAGTACATTTGTGGGTTTTTTTGTTTTCTTAAGAGTAAAGAGTATCACACTTTCCTACCAATAGTGTTGAATGAGTTTTCTTTCCCTTCTCACTAACTCAAGAAATTTTTTCAATGATTCAGTCAGTTACACTTGTTCTTTTTAATACTCCATGCTGCCTCCCTGCTAATACTCTTGTTCATAGCCAGTCTCCTTTAAAAAATAGTTACTATCAACGTGAGCACCATTCATTATTCAAGCTGCTGCCATGTGTTCTTTCTCCCCCACCTTTAGTGGCTATAGTGTCAGTGGTTTTCTAATTCAAGTCCAATGAATTTGTCATTCCTTATTTTATTTCTGTATTTTTCTCTACGTTCAAAATACCATTTTCATGGTTTCTGGTTTTTTAGTTTTGCTCTGCTTTGATCACGGCTGCCTACAAGACAGATGTTTTTGTAGAACCCTTGTCTCTCTATATGTGAACAATTTTATTTTTAAAATCTATTATAAAATTTATGAGCCCAAGTAAGGAAAACTGGTTTGTCAATGAAGATATAGAATAATGGATAGAGAAAAAGTGCATGTTTCTTGTCTGATTCGTGCATGTAAATATTTTTTAGAGTATACATGCACCATTTCTTCTTCAAGCCTTGGAAATAGTCTTATTATCGAATGTGCCATTTCTAGCTAGTTTCATAATCTCCCACTACAATAAGAGTAGTAATGCTGCTATTACTCACAATGCATCACTGTTTGTATTGAACCATATAGATCTTGCCTCTACAGTTCCTTAGTACCATTTTTTAATGCTGGTTACATCATTATTCGTTATGCTGCATTCATTGCGCCTGTGAATACTGGCTTCCAATGACTCAAAGGTTGTTACTGTGCTTCATTGGTAATCACCAAAAATGCAAGTCTTACCCAGAGTGTGCAGGAAAGTGTGGGTAATCATTTATTTTTTTGTCATGTTATATTTACCATTTGAACTTTTATAGCATAAGCATAGAACACATACTCCAGCCATGTCGCCTCCTGAATGTTTTAAGCTGTAATTACTGTATTCTTCGCCACACTGAGAAGAAAAGGCAAAAGGCTCATGGGTGGAACAAGAAGACCAGTTTTATTTGTGTAAGAATGTCATTCCTTCATCAGCATATCAAGCCAAATTCTGGAGAAAACAGTCGCTATCAATTGGAAATGAGAGAGGACATTAATTGGATGGTGCCAATTGGCTTTGTGGGACAACAGCCTTGAAAGGCCTCAGATGACAGAGGTCTGGCCCAACACAAAGTGTATAACCGGCTGAGAGGAGTAGGGTAATCTCCCTGGTGCAAATGGACAGGGTAAAGAACACTGCCACCACCTTCACAAGCCTGGGGGTCTACAGACTAGAGGTAGCATCATAAGTGAAACAAAAGTGAGAGCTAATGAACAGCGTCCCCCCCCCCCCCCCACACACACACACACAATACAATCCCAGGGGTCCAGGTGACCTTCAGTAGTCCCGAACCCTGAATTTATACTATGTCCAATATGATAGTCACCTAAAAGCTATTCAATACCATTCTGGCAGCCTAATCTTGTACAGTTGGTACTGTTCTGTGAAAGAAATATTGCTCAGCTAGTAAGAATGGTCCACTCTTCAGACCCAGGAGAATTCTATAGGCAAAAGACCCAGAGCTCCCCCTGGCATTCAGTCCACACCAAACTTGGGTCAAAGGAGAGAAATGACATCTATTTCACACACCAAAGTGAAACTTAGAAAATCTCAAGAGGTACTTCTGACAACCAGCAGAATGGGACCAAATCCAGGCTCAGGTTGGCTTGCTCAGTCCCAGGCAATGGAGGAGGATTTACAAAATCTTGAAGAAGGCAATCTAAGTCACAAGTATTCCTGACGTGTGGGGGGCTGGGGCAGGATCCCTACTTACTCAGATCTCACAGGTACTGTCTAACCTCCCCCCCCTCATTATCCTTGACTGCCTCCTATTTGCCTGTCTTTTTAAAAGATGGTGCCTTAACTTAGTGTTCTATTATTGTCCCTTCTACATATAGTCGGTTGAATTCATTCACTCACCTATACTTACCACCCATAAGCTGTTTAATTTGAAGTCTCTGCTATCTAGACCAGTGGTTCTCAACCTTCCTAATGCCGCGACCCTTTAATACAGTTCCTCATGTTGTGGTGACCCCCAATTTCATTGTTACAAATTGAACATAATTAAAGCATAGTGATTAATCACAAAAACAATATGTACCCCTGTGAAAGGGTGGTTCAACCCCAAAGGGGCTGTCACCCACAGGTTGAGAACCGCTGATCTAGACTTTCTCCTGAGACCAAACATGTACATTAGTGTTTGTTATTGTTCAGTTCAAAATCCTATATAATAAAAGCCTAATATGCTAAGTGTCTGGTCATGCAATCAGCTGTTCAATCAAAGCATAATATGCTAATGATATGCTAAGGCTGCTCAACTGCTTGCTATGACGTGCACTGACCACCAGGGGGCAGACGCGCTGATCGGTAGGTTAGCTTGCGGCTGGGGTCCCGATGATTGGGACTGAGCAAGAAGGGCCAGACATGCCTGGAGCCCTCCTGTAATCCCTCCCCAGCTGGTCAATCTCCCACATCCCTCCCCACCCCGATTGTGCACTGGTGGGGTCCCTCGGCCTGGCCTGTGCCCTCTCGCAATCTGGGACCCCTTGAGGAATGTCAGCTGGTTTTGGCCCGATCCCGCAGGCCAGGCTGAGGGACCCCACTGGTGCATGAATTTGTGCACCAGGCCTCTAGTATTTTATAATTTCCATGTGGTTTCTTTGATGTATGAATTTTTTACAA